TCTTGATTGAAATTCTGATTTGTATTAAAACAAAAAGTCAAAATAATAATATAAGCATCATATTATAATTGTGCATTATATTATTTATAAAAATTAGATCAATTCAAATATAACAAGCAAAACTTATAATTGAAATAATACAAAAAGAACTCTTTGTGATCAAAAATTCTGATTTGTATAAAAAAAAAGTCAAAATAATAATACATCGTATTATTATAAAAATTAGATCAATTCAAAAATAATTTACATAAATTAATAAATATAATACATCAGACAATCAGAGTAGATCAACAATAACAAATCATCACCTCAGTGATAAATAAAAAATTATTATACATAATTTAGTAAAAAAATCAATAAGCAATTTCAACACAAGTTCAACAAAATTAATAAAAAACAATGTAATTTTTCAACACAATTTCAACAAAATTTCAACAAAATTTTAACATAATCATAGGGTGTTGTTTAGTCAATACATCAAAATTTCTTATGATTATAATGTCATTTTATTTCATAAAAAGTAAAAAAAAACTGTAAATATTATTGTGTAACCCTAAATTACTATTATATTATAGTAATAAATTTACAAGACACAATGCATAATACGAATATTTATTCATTTTTTAATTTTATTTAAAAACTAAATACAGAGAACTACAAAATTATATATATATAAATCTAGTAAAATTCATTTTAAGCAAAACTTCATTGTATTAAAAAAAATTCGTTATAAAGAAAATTCGTTATAAAAAGAGTCATTTTATATATAAATGTTTCTGACTTTAATTCATTAAATGTAATATAATGGGGACATAATAAGGTATCCAATAAAATTTGTCCAACTTAAAAATTTAATAAAAAATTTTTCAGAGTATTTATCCAAAATATCTCAACATAATTTGATAGATATTGATCAGCTCCATAATATAATATTGAGATTATTCTGATTAAATATCAAGATAAAAAATTATTAAGTCATAAATTTGAATATTTTTCTAAGTGAATGAAGATTTGAAACAATAATTTCAGTCTGAATTAAGACAAATTTCTATAATGTGAGTCAGATCAGAATCTATAGGTCTGATTGGCTAATTCGTTTATACATTTAATGTCTTCTTTATATATAATTTAGTCTACATGTATGTATATCAACTGATTAGACTTATAAATATCACGTTCAAAATGGCAAAAATAACATTGTAAAGATTTAGCAAAGAAAAAAAAACTCGAAAGTAAGAAAAGTTATAATATCTCCAATGATATTTTAAGTTCAAATGATGAAGATAGCACAAAGGATGAAATTGAATGGATTGATAATCAAATTAAGAATGAGACGGAATGCCTTTTTTCAGTTTTAATCGAAAATATAAAGGTGTTAAACTTATCTAAGCATCCATTAATATATTTAAATAATTCACACACAATCAAATATCAAAAAAAAATTGAAGTATTAAAGGATAGAAAAAAAATGTGTAAACTTTTTATCAACTATTATCTGACTCTGATAGTGGTTCTGGTGGTAGTTTTGGTGATGATTCTGGTAGTGGCTCTAGTGGTAATTCTGATGGTAATTCTAGTGGTTACTCTGGTGGTAGATTAGGCAGTAATCTTAATATTGATTCTGATATCAGCTCTGATGGTAATTTGGATGATATAAAAAATATACAAGCATTTATTGATACAATTGAAAACAGATTAAAATCTGAAAATGAGCACTTAATTCGGGATATAAAATCTGACTCAAAGCTACTCAACACTATTTACAACTCCTTAACAAAGGTCATACGAAATTAAATGCAAGTCAAGTTATTGCAAACCTTTTTAATTAAGGAGAATAGTTTGCTCACTATATTAGAAATTAGGCTAAAACATTTATTAATTATGGTGATATTCCTCAAAGTAATTGTGGAAAACATTTTAAAGGAAGCAGTATTCTTAATGATAAGGATGTTCAACTAAAAGTAGCATCATATTTATGACAACATAAATTTGATGTAACTGTTACCAGTTTTTGTGATTATATTTCTAATGAGATTTTGCTTTCTATTGGCATAGAAAAAAAAAATAAAATTAGGTAAGCTTTATTTATCACATTATATTTTATAAATTATTTTATATTATATTTTATTAAAATTTTTATATTTTTATAACAAAAAAAATGGCAATTCGAAGGTTAAAAAAAATTGGATTTGTATTTAGTCATTATATAAAAGGAATATATATTGATAGTCATGAAAGAGATAATGTTATTGCTTATCGAAAAGAATTCTTTAAAACTATAGCTAGGTAATAAATTTATTTTTAATTTATATTTTAATTTATTTATATTTTTTATATTTACATTTGTGCATATAATTTTATAGCTATCAAAGTTTAATGCCAAAATTTATTGGTAATGAACTTGAAATTAGAATTGATCCTAAATTAAAAGGTAAACAAAAAATACATGTTCTTGTTACTCATGATGAAACAACTTTTTAATCAAATAATAGACGAAAATCAAGTTGAAGACCTAAAAATGAGTAACCTTTACGAAAAAAAAGACAAGAAAGAACAATTCATATTAGTGATTTTTTAACTGATACAATTGGAAGATTAAAAATAAATGAAGAAGAAATTGATAATACCATTCCAAGTAAAGCCTATATTAAAATTAATTCTAGAAAAAATTTTGATAGATGGTGGAATATTGATCAATTAATTGATCAGGTATTTTATTATAATAATTAATATAAATTAAAATTATTAAATTAAAATTATTAATTAAATAAAAAATTTTTTATTTTTTACAGATCCCGCTAAAAGTCTCTGAATGTCATCTTTCAGCTATTTTATACTAAATACATCATATGACTGTATAATATTACAGTCGTGTAATATACCTGACCTTATTTGCTTGAATTAAAACCAAATAAAAGTGTGATTTTACTATAAACTCAATTATATTAAAATATATTAGAGAGCTGCAAAATGATATATCTAATAATATTACAATTATACATGAAAAGGATTATAAGAAACAGTTCTGTATGCATTAGATTCAGTTCCTTTAAATCAAATATATAAATATGCTAATAAATCAGCAAAATTTATGGAATGTTATCGAAAAAAATTAACTAGTTTACAAGCTGAATATGTTTTAAAAAAATATGAATCACATTGAGTTATTCCAGATTATATTTTTTGAAAATATTGATAAATTAATAAACAAAATTTAATATTATCATGTAATTTTTTTAGCCAATTAAAATTTAATATTATGATAATCACGTGATTATTAATAAATTTTCAAAATTAAAACATTTGATGTCTTATTACACTAGTTCAATAATGAGGTATCATACAGATATCAACTACCTAGAAATACCCAATATGTCTTACATTTTATTCAGATAACTTATTGAATGACAGATTTTTTATATTCCTGATAATTCTCTTAATTATGGCAGGAATAGTTAATAATAAGCTACATAAAATTAACACATCGGGTTATTAAATATTATACTAATATTATACTTTCATCAGAGTTCCGATACCCCAATAATACCTTGATTATTATTAAATGGTCATTAATTAAACATCATGCATTGATAAAGGAATTTTAGGTAAGATGTCGTAATTCGGTAATATTATAGTACTCCAATGCCTTAATAATACATTTATGATTAATAAATTGATGTTTAAATATTTTACACAATATTCATTATGGAATTTATAATATATTTTATATATTATTATAATATTTTATTGTAATATCAAATTTATTCACATTATATGTCACATATCGTACATATTTATTCTGCATATTAAATATATTTATTTATTATACACTAATTAAAATTCTATCTAATCATTTATGACTTTCGGCTGCCACTTTCTTCCCCTTGCTCCTCTCTCTCAACTAAAGATGATATCGTCCATCTAGGAATTTCGGGTGGTGGTCTTGTATTGTCTTTAAATGCATTATCGTTATATTATCGTTTTCTTTGAACTTTTATATGTTGTATATTTTCACTAACTTTATCTGCATGTTGAAGAAATTTTTTAACCTATAATATAATAAACAAAGTGCTATAAATAAAAATAAATAAATATCCAAAATATATGTTGTATACCTTTTGAGATCTCCAAGGCTTATCATACATATTGTCACTGTGGAATTCTTCAACTCAGGGTGATCACGTTATCAAGTCTCTACTCGAAATTTTTAACTGTGGTTTACTGCGGTTAAGACGTTAGGATCCGCCTAGCTCTTAACTTTGGCAAAATTACACGTTAGACTTAAATAAAACCTATCAAGTATGAAGACTTGAAAGATGAGATTATGAATAATTTATTTAAAGAACTCGGATGACGAA